AGGAGGAGGAGGAGGAGGAGGAGATTGGTTTTATACCCCACCATTTGGAGTCTCAGAGCGGCTGCTCTGACAGAACTATGGCTTGCCCAAGGTCATCCAGCAGGTGCAAGTGGAGGAGTGGGGAATCAAACCTGGTTCTCCCAGATTAGAGTCCACACACTTAACCACTACACCAAACTGGTCCTGGAAAGAAGTACTGGGAAGGATCCTGGTAATAAAGTTTTAAGAGACTCAAAGTGCAGAATCCATATAATTGCAACACAGCTCTAGCCTCAGCCATTCTGAAGAACTCCAAGATGCAGAATTATGCTCTTGGGGCACAAGCTACATATGCTGTGCTTACAGTTAACTAGTTTCCACTGAATGACAGACTTCAAACCCAGTAGTACATACAAAGAGATAAGACAACCGAACCACACACACACACAATACCTGCAGAAAATGAGCACAGGAAAATAAGGTCCACAAACATGGTTTTCTACTACCAAGTCAGTCAGTCTCTCTCACTCACACACAGAGCTTGTCTTCAGACAAACACAGTCCCTCTTCCAAGACGTCTGCTAACAGGCCCTTTCCCCCCTGTTGTGTTCCTGCAGTGCATTATCTATGGAACCAATCCTTGCACTGCACAAAGCTCACCAAACATCGAGCTCTTACAAAGCCAATAAGCACAAAGTGCTACTTGAAACCACGATCCGGGCCTTTTACAGCACTGGTTATGACATGATATTATGGCGAAAACACGTCACGAGAAGAGAGGTGGGGATCTGAATAAACAATTCTTGGGTGTGCAAACATGCTTTTCCTTTAAAATTAAGCGTACAGACTAAAGGGTTATTTCAAATCAATATTCCCTGACACTAAAACTGAAATGCTGATACATCAGTGTGTTTCTAACCACAACACAAATCATGCCGATGTGGGAAATTCCAGCCAAGTTGCTAATGGGGGATCTATAGCTCTCACACTGATGGTCAGCTTTTGTATTTAGACTGTACTTTGGGGAGGGGGGGGAGATAAACCCTTCTGGAAGTTTCCCCACACCCATCCATGATACTACTGTGAATCTAGTATCTAAGCTCCCTACACTACAATAGCAAAGGTTTAACAATGCATGCACGCAGTCACTTCGCTGAACAATCAGGCGGTGGCATGATGCAGCTGCACCAATCAGGGCTTCTGAAAGTCTGCATGAATGCACCACAAAAAGCAATACACAGCCCTGTCTCCATCCATGCAGTTCCAGAGACTTAAGTTAAAGGCACTTCTTAAACTGGTGCTTCCCACGGCTTTCCTACTCCACCCTTCTTGAAATTTCTCAAGAACAGGATAAAGGGCAAAGTGGGGGGGGGGGGTTTGTACTGGAAACCGCCAACCCCGCTTTCAAAAACCTAAGTGCCTTTAAGCCTTCAGAATCCGTGGTGTGATGCAGGACATGGGATCCGTCACTGTGAGCGAGATCCGTAAAGCTTCAAATTAAGCAAATCCACACGAAATTGCACATTCTGCCTTTCTGCGGAACGAACAGAACAGTTTGTGGATTTGGAATCCCGTAGAATCATAGTTCTAGAGTTCCTGGCTAACATTTTCTTAGGTTGACAGAATAACAAAAGTTTTGGGGGTTTTTTTTTGGGGGGGGGGGTAATGAAAAATACTAAATAGATGGAGCAAGGAAGCCAAGAAGCATTTTTTTTTAACATCCTCTGCCACTCAACTAACTTTTTATGTTGCTGTTGAAAAGCTTTTTCTTTTGAGTCTCAGGAATTCCTTGCTTAGTCCACATTCCTACAGTCGACAACAGCCCCAGACATAACGCTAGCAACTTGAGATTCTCCCAAAGGAAATTACATGCAAATTAAAAGGGAACAGTGGCGATGGGTAATTTTAGCCTGAAGAAGCAAGCGAGGCACCATCTGGATTCACACACCTCTAGTTAATTTAGTGTGTGCAATTTAAGCACTTACTCCAGACATATTGTTAAGCACAAAGCAGGTGCTGCTATTCATCATGCCAATGGACTCAAGGATTTCCTCTCTCTCTCTAGAAAAAAATTCCTCTCCATTGGAAAATGTTTATTTTATATTACAGCTGTAATTGCTCTCAATCCTTTAAAGATTTCTTAAATTAATTGACTGGATTTTAACTGATTACATGATTAAACACTACTAAGTTTCAAAAATAACCTCAGAAAAACCTGTTACTTCTTTCTGCGGTGGGATACAAGAAAATGGAATAAATAAAAGTTACTGGTATCATCAGTGGGGGAAAGTTATTATGGTAAGAAAGTTTTTTAATTTAAAGCAGGACTGGATCCATGGAATAACCCCTCACACACCGAAGCCAAGATGAACTTAAAAATAATCAAGGAGGGTCCTTCAGGGCAATGCTCCCTCCGAGCTGTGGAGTCGTGTGAGCAAAAATTCTACTTTGTGAGCTACTGGCATTGAGCTTGTGAGCGAGCAGATTTGCCTACGGCATAAATCGGTTTGCTCTGGAGCCCATCCCTCCCTGAGCCGAGACAAAAAATGGGTGTGAGCCGGAGGCTAAAAAACCTGTGAGCTGGCTCACACGAACTCAGTTTAGAGGGAACATTGCTTCAGTGTTATGAAAAAGTAGGCAATTAAAATATAAGTTCTCATTTATATTTCTGCTATATATTTGGCACGTTGAGGGGAGGGGTGTGTTTGGAAGGTACTATCAGTCTTTGGAACAACTGTTGTGAGACATGAAGCCCGTAAAATGTGTGAACTTTCCCACTCTTGATATACCAGGAAAGACGGCGGAACTTCCCAGCCCTTTAGTCATACGCAAAGGCCCCATCGTCCCACCACAGTGTCAGCAGCTCCTCGGCTCACTGTGGAGAAGCAAACACAGTCCTTTCATTGCTGTGCACAACCGACAGCCTGGCTGACTTAATAAGCACATGCAAAACTTTTCAAATGCTCTACGCTCTTGAATAAGCACATAACCCTTCAAACAGTGTCAATAAAAACATCTGTAAAGCACGTATTGTAAATACGTTATCGGGAGGAGCCATGTGTTAGTAAAAATAGAATTAAGCTGCCGTATCCAGAGAGAAGCTCGGCCAGCGCTTTCTGACTAAGGTTTATATATAACTGCAAGTGTTGTGTGTCCTGCAATTACCATGGCCAGCCGTGCCTTCCTGTATTGACAAAACATGGGGCTCCGAATGGATCGCAGGAGTGGGCTTTCCTTTATCCTTTTTTTGCTGCCTTACCCTTCTCACTGCCTCCTGAAATGCTCCTTCTGATGGTAGAGGGGGCCCTGGGAACAGTGTGAGAGGACGACAGCCAGAAAGTGAAAATTAGCAGAAGCCGCACAAAAGATGTGGAGCACCTCATGAGCAGTGGGGTTTTTTCTGGGGGGAGGGGAAGCGACACGACAGTAGGAAGGAAAAGGCAAAAAGCAGTTATGTGAATCTGCTCCATTTCCAACACAACAGGATCCAACTCAGTGTTTTAACCACAGCCCCAAGAAACAAGCAAACCCAAAGCTGCAACTTGACCCAGAGGCAAACAGAACACTTAATGCACCAGGACCAAGATGCACAGCTAAGAGGCTAAAGCATGTTAGCCCTTGTCTCCTCCTCAGACGCAGAACACGCTTCCTTTCCCTGTTTTCGAGATCTCACAAGGCTATAACTTCAATGATACCAAACATGTTGGTATCTTCCTTCTAACTACTAGTAACTCCAGCTATCTTCCTTCTAACTTCCTTCTAACTACTAACTGCTTTTTACTTTTACTTATGAATGCTGTGGCAACACAATCAAAGAAGGAAATTTTTGGACCACAAGTTTATAATCACTGGGCTAGTGATTGCACTTTAAAGGTCTTATGTGCATATTTACCTTGTGCCTGGTGATTTTACTTTTGAACAATTTACTTTATGGTCCTCATTGAATCTATACTCTGTATATATTTCTGATTCTGTTTATGTGAAAATAATTATTAACCATCTTACCACCTATGTATGACCTCTGAGGAAGGCCTATTTGGCCAAAACGCGTAAGGTCAACTTTGTAAGCCCTTGATATTGTTATATTTTATTTACATTGGTTGTAAATGGGCCTCTATATATGTTTTTAAAATGATAGTGGTCCCACATGAGGTACCAGCCTTTGAACTAAGCTCTTGACATCCACCTATGTATACTAGCATTGTCCTACTGAGAACTCTCAGAAATAACCATGCAGTTGTTCAAGAAGTAAGAACATAAGAGACGCCAATGTTGGATCAGGCCAATGGCCCATCCAGTCCATCACTCTTGTGTCACACAGTGGCCAAAAATACCAGGGGCCATCAGGAGGTCCAGCAATAGACTTGGGCTCATGCTCACTGGAATCAGGGAAGCACCATGCCAGCCTGTAATATTGTATTGTTTTAACATATTGTTTTAATGGTTTTAGCGATTTGATTGTTAATCTGTGTTTTATCTGTGTGAGCTGCCCCGAGCCTGCTTTGGCAGGGTAGGGTGGAATATGAACTGGAATATAAATAAACAACTTAGCACAGTTCCGCAGAGCCTGCAAGACGGAGCTCTTCCGCCAGGCTTTTGAATAGGAGCCGCCACCACTAGTCCATCACTAGTGCACTACCAACGCACTAGTCTACCATCAACGCCCCATATATGGACATCAGGAGGGGGCACGTTCCATCAATGCCCCATAATCGCTGCACTATGGGCGAGAACGGGAGGTGTAGGGGGTGGCCATCTTGCTTGTAGAAAGTGTAATTTGGAATTTGGAAATTGACTGAGAGGAGCACCAAAATTGGTTTAATGGTGATGTATTTTACTATTTGGTATTGTTTTACTGTTTTATCTGGCGATACGCCCTGTAAGCCGCCCTGAGCCTCTGGGGAGGGCAGGATAGAAATGTGAATAATAAATAAAATAAATAAATAAATATAAATAGATAAACTCCATCCTGTCATTCCCTTTCCTGAAAAGACAGTGCTGAGCACCACATACCTGCATCAGTTTCCTTGAGAGCTCGTTAGTGAGAAATTCTTCCTCCTTTTCATAGTTCACCGCAAGTGTCTCTTTCTCCTTCTGCAAAGCTTGAATCTTCTTAAACAGGGTGTTACTAATAAACTCCTCTTCTTGCTCCGCTCTCGCTTGCTGCAAAAGAAAGATTTTTTTTTAAAAAAAATAGCTGTTAAGAAGGAAAAACTCAAAACTCGAAAACTCTCCCATGGTGGACTGGACCAAACTTTAAATGTTCCTACGCTTCTTTCTTTTGCCACTTCAGCCTCAAAATATACTGGATATCTAGATCAAGACCAAAGTCTGGTAACTTTGCCCCCATCAGTACACTTGAACATGGAGATGCTGTCCCCCAAACCTGTAAAATTAAGCTCTGATTTAGAAAACGATGCATTTAGTACTGCGTCTCCACCGGAGAAAAGCAATGCATAGCAGCGGTGCCACAGACTGTCAAATGCAACTTTGAAGCAAGGTACCTATGGGGCTGCGCATGCATCTATTACGCTCTTGGAATGAGTGTGTTTTTTTAAATCCTCACACAGACAGCAGGTGTTACCATGCCAAGTACATCAGACCTCTGTGCAGAAACCTATTTCGGCACACAGAGTACAAGTTCCAATTCCTGGAATGCAACACAAGTATTTCAGCCAGTTAAAATGCAACCAAGATGCAGGCCACATAGATGTACCACAAGATGCAGTCTCTCTATTATTCCCCCACCTCTCTTAGGACAGGCATTTTTCTATCATACAAAGCAGTTCTCCATTCCCATCTCGGTATTCAAGAAAAGGGGGTGAAGATATGGCAGTTCTGAAGAACCATAGCTAATTCGTTCGCACAACATAGCCTTCTGAAACCACAGGTAAGAAGGCTGTCATAAAAGACTTTGGGGAGGGGGACACAGTAATCCAAACAATGGACGCTCTGTGTGACATTAATATGATGGAAATGATGGCCACAGGTGAAGTGTAGGAGACTCGATTCTTACTAAGTTTAGACTTGGGCTCATGCTCATCGGAATCAGGGAAGCACCATGCCAGCCTAAACAAGGACGGACAGCGGGCTGTTCCCTGTAACCTGGCAAGGCATAGCTCTCAGGTTCCCATCCAGGCTCTGAAGCTGCCGGCAGGGACGGCTCATGTGGAGCTGGACCAGACGTCCCACTGGCCATCTAACCTCGGCAGACAAAGCCGAGGCAGACAAAGCCTACTCACGGGAGCAAAGAAACTTTTGACAACGATGTTCATAGAAGTCGGAGCGGCGTCGTCTGCAAGCACAGACGGACTAGGGATCTCCTTTCACAGAAAGCACCCCCTTCCTGACTTCTGTGAGTATTCTTACCAGGTGTTAACGCTGCTCACATGAATAGATCACACACGCGGACACTTATTTGCACATGTCAGCTGGCTACCAGAACGCCCAAACCAGTTTTCCATTCGCTCGTAAAGCAAGCCAGGGAAAAAGTGGCCGGTTCCCACCAGCAAACTGAGGACAGTGTGCGTGTGTGTGTGTGTGTGTGTGTGTGTGTGTGTGTGAACCCCCTCCTGACTCTCCTCTCCCCCATCAGTCTGGGACTGGCAAATTCTTTATTTAGCATCGGAAAAGGAGTGCGACAAGGATGTATATTGTCACCTTGCTTATTTAATTTATATGCAGAGTACATCATGCAAAATGCTGGCCTGGATGAATCACAAGCCGGAATTAAGATTGCCAAGAAAAAGATCAGCATCCTCAGATCTGCAGACGATACCACTCTAATGGCAGAAAGTGAAGAGGACCTAGAGAGCCTCTTGCTAAGGGTGAAAGAGGAGAGCGCAAAAGTGGGCTTGAAGCTCAACATCAAAAAAACCCAAAGGTCATGGCATCCAGCCCCACCACTCCTTGGCAATCAGTTAATCCTAAAAGAAATCAACCTTGCCAGATACCGAAGTTGAAGCTCAAATACTTTGGCCACGAAATGAGAAGGGAGCTCTCACTGGAGAAGACCCCGACGCTGGAAAAGACTGAAGGTCAAAGAAGACGGGGACGGCAGAGGATGAGATGGTTAGACAGTGTTACTGATGCAACAAACATGAAATTAGGCAAACTTCAGAGCACGACGGAAGACAGGAGGGCCTGGCGTGATGTGGCCCATAGGGTCACGAAGTCGGACTCGACCGTGCGACTGAACAACAAACAACCTTCCCACAAAGCCAGCATTTCAGTTTCTCTCGCTCTATCCCTGTCAGATATTCCAGTAACAACCAAGAACCCTGTTAAAGCCAGTGTCCCTGATTCTGCAAAAACTATAGCTTTTTCTTCATCGCCAGGAGCGTCTTCACAGGTGTTCCATCTCTGCGCAAACGCGGCGTGCCATCTGTGCAGCATCTCCTGCACAAGCTGAGAAGAAATCACACTTTCAACCACCTCCTCCTCCTCCTCCTCCCCCCATTTTTGTAAACATCTAATTTCTTTTGTCTGGACTGAAGCCTTCAAAATAGTCACACGTCCCATCACCTCAACTACTACAACTGTCATTTCGATCTCTGTTTCAGCTCCAACTGCAATCTGAACTGTCTTTAAGAAGGTCTGCTGTCAAGATGACGAGAGATCGCAAGACGGCGCCTGGGCCATCTTGCTTTTGCACAGCGTGTTCTAGAGCACACGAAAAAGCAGCCGGAACACTCTGTGCCTCGTATCTCCAGTTACATCTCCTTCTCCAGGTCTTAATGAGACGGAAGTTAATATCTATATAATGGGGTGCGAACACTTCTGTGCCGTCACTTGTAATGTCTATATTATCACCGCAAACAATGCTGCCTCTATTATATTTAATTCATACGCCACTTTTCTCCCCTAATCAGGACCCGCAGAGACTTATTTATTTTTTTATTTATCTTTCAACTTTCTACCCGCTCGAACCCCCAGGGGGTCTTCTGAGCGGCTTACAGTTAATCGCTTATCCCTACCTATGGCCACATATACTGGGGATGGGGACTGCCCTACCGGCACCCTGTGGAGGTCTTTGTTGATCTTCTTCCTCCCGGTCGGCTTTGTCGGCTCGGCATTGTTCACATTGTTTTCCCCACTCCTGACTGAAGCAACGTTTTAAATGCTCTGCACCGCCAGGTCAGATCCCGCGCCGGGCAAATGCCCCGTTTGTCCCTGTCCACTTTCTAAAAAAGCTTGGTGGGTACCAGGAAAAGTACTGGCAGGCACCACAGAGTCCACGGGCACCATGTCAGGCATCCCTGGACTAACCATTACACCAGGGGTGTCAAACATGCAGCCCGGGGGCCGGGTGATGCCCCCGGAGGACTTCTATCAGGCCCACAGTGCAGCTGGCTGTCTTCTGCTTCTGCTTCCAGTTCTGCTGCTGCTGCGTCATCGTAGGTTTGCAGCTTACAGATACACACCTGAACAGCACACTCAAGATTGCAACAGCACAGACATTTTGATGCAATAGTTCAGAGCAAGAGGGGTCAGTTATCAGTCAAATAAAGAAAATATTGCAAGAGTGCTAATGTTTTAAGCATGTTTTTATTTTAAGTAAAAAAACTACCTTTGTGTTTGTGTCCTTTATGAAGTTTATATCTCCGTTACCTGGCATTACATCTTATGACACACATGGCCCAGCCCAACAAGGTCTCATGTATGTAAGTACATGAGTAAGTAAATTTTAGTGAAATTGTATTTATTGTATTTTATATTATTCTGTACTGTTTTAATGTTTTAACTTGGGCATTCGTGCCCCTTGTGAGCCGCCCGGAGCCTTCGGGGAGGGCGAGGTGTAAATTTAAAGATAAATTTAAATTTTTTTAAAAAAAATGTCAGATCCAGCCCTCGTAACAAACAAGTTCGACACCCCTGCATTACACCATCCCAGCTCTTTCCAGCTCCTTTAGCCTGCCACGTTATCCTGGCGGATAAATCTGAAGGGAGCGAAGCGCTATGGCATTCTAGGCGATGTACTACAATATCTAAACCTGAAGTATACCAAATAGCAGATACGACAGCAGTTCATCCGTTATGGTTTGGTATGAGAACTTAACACAGGACCCAATACAACACAGCAATTATCCATCTGGCCCAGCATCCTCCTGTTCTCCACAATGTCCAACCAGAAGACTTAGAGAAGCCCACAAACAAAGGCACAGAAGGCAAAGCCTTCCTCCCCACAACAACTGTTATTAAGGGCATGCTGCCTCTGAACACGAAGGTTCCATTGACCTACCACCCTTCACAAGTACTGATCGATCTATATTCCATGAATTGCTTAGTCCCCCAGTGATAGATTTGGTTTACCTTCCAGAATTCTTTTACAGCCCTTTGCACGGAAGCACATTGCCCCAGGGACACTGAGAAACCGAATTAAATCAGTTTAAAAAAAGAAAGAAAGAAAGAAACAGGCACAGCGTGGTACATACACATCCTAAGATCTGCACTATGCCTCTGATTTCATGGCAAACATGTCTTAGATGCAGCCTTCACCCTTGTATGCAGAGAATACAACCTCCAATTAAGAGCCTGTTCTAATACAGGTCCTTCATGATTCTGCAAATGTCAGTTCTTTATAAATTTATTAATAGCGGGTACAATCAGGGTGTTTTTCCCCTCCCATCTCTTAGACATTCCTTGTGCGAATATAAACATCAAATGGTTCTCATCCCCCCTTATCAATCACTTTTTAAAAGACTCATTCCATGATTGCCCACCTGAAAAGAAATACTAATTTTTATCAACATGAACAAAACCATTCCAGACTTTAAAGGGCCACTGTCTCAAAGCGCTGTGGACCAGCTCGGGCACACTTCAGCTTCCTCCTTGCTCCATGCCGCCTGCAGATTCCTTGAAAATTTCCTTTGGTTTTTTTTTTTTTTTTTTTGGTAAATCACTTCGCTTCCGAGCACAATTCAAAGTGCTGGTTCTTACCTTTAAAGCCCTAAATGGCTTGGGGGCGGAGTACACGAACAACTACCTCCTCCCATATTTTCCAGCCCACCGGTTAAGATCGGACTCTCAAGCCCTGCTCCCTGTTCCTCTACCTTCAGAGGAGAAGCAGAAAGTTACTAGAGACAGGACTTTTTCAGTGTTGGCACCCAGCCCATGGAACACCCTTCCCCCTTGAGACCCACCTGGGACCTACAATACTTTCTTTTAGGTGCCAGGCGCAAAATGTTTCTGTTTACCCAGGCTTTTAACAAAGGGGCTGACCTCTTGAACGGTGTTTTATAGTCTATTTTTAGCCTGAGAACTCATTTTAATCTACTTCATGCTTTATGCTGTCCTTTATTTTTAATGGTGGGTTTTAACAACTGCTGTTATGTTTTATGCGTAGGTTTTATTTTGGAAGCCACCTGAGCTAGCTTCCTTGGAGAGGCTGCATAGAAATTTTCCTAATACATACAAAAAAAGAAGAAGAAACATTTTGGAAAGGGCATCAGTATTGTTTCACTCAACTTTGGGAACAGTGATATTTTCCCAATATTAATTAAAACAAAAGTCTGCCCCCCCCAAACACAACTTCTCACTAGGGTATCAACACTCCCACTGTTTAGTCATGCCCTTCCTCTTTTTTAAATTTATATTTTATTATTTTTTTCCAATACTGTTACACTTGGTGCCCCTGTTAGCCGCCCTGAGCCTCCGGGAAAGGGCGGGATATAAATGCGAAAAATAAATAAACAAACAAACAAACAGTGTTCGGCAATAAATAGTGATACAAAAACTATGTCCCTGATCATTCTAATTTTGTTCAATGAGTTAGTATAATTTAATTCAAGGTTTTGCGGTTGGGAAATTTTTACCTTGCTATAATTTTAAGCTCATACAAATAGACATACCTTTGTAATGTTTCTAGAAGTTATCTATTTTTCACAAATTTTATAGGATTGTTTTACCCTATGGCAACTGTTTAAAATTTATGCCAATAAAGGTATTTGTTTGTTTGTTTGTTTGATACAAAAACTATTTCAACACTAGATAACATTCAATGAGGGTACAGAAAAGAAGATCACAGGTTTTCATTAGCCAGGTCAGATAACTAAAATCAAGAAGTTCAATACAAACAGGAAATTATGCTAACTTTAAGGCTATTTTGGATCGTGATATAATCAAATACAGTACAATGCAATCAAAAGATTACAGTACATTTCTATAGGCTGGGTTGCTTGGAATTGTTTTGCTAGTTTCTAAATAATTGATCAAAGGAAACCATCCTGCCTGGAACCACTTCTGATATTTTTCTACAGCAAAGCCAAGGAGTTATATGCCCTTCCTGACTTTCTTGTACAAAATCAGAACAATAATTTTTGGAGTGCGCTTCCCTAGAGCCAATTTCAAGAACCCCAAACTATCCCTTTACAACAACAGCAACCGGTTTTCCTTCCATCCCAAAGCAACCAGTGGGAGCCAAAAAGCCTTCATGTTGCTTTGACTGCCAGGAACAGCTTGATCCTTCCATTAGTGGCAAGGCCTTTTTAAAAGGTGTCTGGAAGTCTGGAGTGAGTCCTCCAGTCCTCTGTACTCTTTGGCCCCGCCAAGAATGCTCTGGCACCACACACGCCCAACCCCTGCCGACCAGAACAACTTGCACCACCCAGGGATGTGGGACGGAAATTTCTCCAGTGCTTTATTTTTCCAGAGAAAAATTTCCATTTCTAATTTCATAGAATTAAGAACAGTAAATGGATACCATCACTAATATCAGGCAAGGAGACTTGAGCAGGGACTCACGGAAACTCACACCCTGCCACAAATCTTGCTAGCCTTTAAGGCGCTACTGGACTGTGGCTCTTTTCTACAATTATGAGGAAAGTCTGGCAGTTTTGAGTCGTCCCCCCCTCCCGGAGGCTGGTGGATGTTTCTCAGCTGATCATCCTTATGAATTCTGAGAAAGAATGCATGTGGGCATTCTACTGAAGTGCAAGTTTGGGCAGAGGCACACGTGCAAATACAGATACGAAGCCAAATGAGTTGTCCAGGCCCCAGCTTGACTCCCTGACCTACCCAATGAGTCACAGCCCTATGATTCCAGACTATGCCAACAGAATTACTCCTGGGACAATACTTAAAAATACCCCAGGAGCAGCATATTTGTATCTGCAAAACTTCCGTGGAGGATCTTTTTCATTATGTCATGGTCTGCCCACTGTACTGGGAACCAAGATGTAGATTCTTGACAGCTATAATAGATCAATTGCAGAATGTTTCTGACATCAACAAATGAATATTTCTGCTGTCAGATGTAGACCCTACGGTTTTCAGTAGGGTAGCACTTTTTGCCTTAGTGGCTAGTAAAATCAGGGCCAAGGTGGAATCCAAGAAGATAGAAAAATTAAATTGACCAATGTAAATGGCAACGTAAAACTGCAATGTTTGAGGCTGACTACGTTGTTTCTGGAGATGGGTATCTATATTTAAGGTTTTTTATCAATTTAAATACTGAATGTGCAGATTTTTAGAGGTTATCATAATTTAAATCTAACTCAAATTCCAGTGCTGTAAAATGTCTAATTTATACATTGTTTTAAATTGTAATGGCTAATAGCTACACAATAAATTTTATCTATCTATCTACCCAGTGAGTTGCAGTCATGGGGAGCGAGGAGGGACTTCACTGGAGTAGCGGGACCGTGGGAAAAGCCAGGGCAATCAGGGGGCAGCCATGTCTGAGGTGCCTGCTGATGACCTTGCAGGCAGGCAACACGCTTATGGAGACCCCACTCAAGGAGTTTTCAAGGCAAGAGATGAGCAAACGATCGAGGTTTACAAGATTATGCATGGGATAGAGCAGGTCGATAAAAAAGTACTTTTCTCCCTTTCTCACAATACAAGAACTTGTGGGCACTCCATGAAATTGCTGAGCAGTCGGGTTAGAACAGATAAAAGGAAGTACTTCTTCACCCAAAGAGTGATTGACACATGGAATTCACTGCCACAGGAGGTGGCGGCGGCTACAAGCATGGACGGCTTCAAGAGGGAACTGGATAAACACAAGAAAGGGGACCCACGATACTCGCGGGGGTGGGGGGAGAAGAAGCTCCACAGGAGGAGAAGGAAGCAGCGGCAGGTGAGCCTTCTCCCCTGCCCCCTGTCCCCCACGGCGAGGCCCGCGCCCCTCCAAGCCTTCTCCCTCCTCCCCCCCAGCACCCTC